TGTTAATTCAGTCTTTGCAGCAACTTTACAGACCAAAATTATCACCAAAAACAAGATTTAAATGTATACGGTAAAAGGGTGAATGCTTAAATAAGTGACATTTCCAGACAATTATCTGGTAATACTGGATTTGGTTAAAATGGGGCTGTAAGAAGAAGCTAGACATAATAGCTGAACACAGCTTTATTTCCAGAATATCAATCCCTTCAATGTCACACATTATCTACTCTATTCAAAAATAGTCACAATAATGTGATTCCTAAATAATATAAAGGTAAAAGGAATAACCAAAAAAATTTTGCTGAAGTGAAGCAAATATGGTATAGATTTTAAAATTCAAATACTGACTTATACAAAGCGCCCATTTAATATAAGAAATTAGCAAACTTTAGGGGCGCCTGGGTGGCTCAGTTGGTTAAGTGGCTGCCTTGGCTCCGGTCATGATTCCAGGGTCCTGGGATGGAGCCCTCCATCAGGCTCCCTGCTCAGCAGAGAGCCTGCTTCTCTCTCTCCCTCTGCCTGCAGCTCTGCTTACTTGTGCTCTCTGTGAAATAAATAAATAAAATCTTTAAAAAAAATAAAGAAATCAGCAAACTTTTTCTCTCACCCAATTTCATTAGACAGCTATTGGTTCCTATAATATAGAACTATATTTACATGAGAAAATAGTAAAACCAAACTGCATATAAACTGAACATTGTTTGATTCACTCTATGCAAGAAAACTTCTGGAGATGATAGATACGTTCATTACCTTGATTATGATGGTGATTCAACAAATGTATGCATACGTCCAAACTCACAAATTGTCTACATTAAATATGTATAGCTTTTTTTTTTTTTTAAGATTTTATTTATTTATTTGACAGAGATCACAAGTAGGCAGAGAGGGAGGCAGAGAGAGAGGAGGAAGCAGGCTCCCTGCTGAGCAGAGAGCCTGACTCGGGGCTCGATCCCAGGATCCTGGGATCATGACCTGAGCTGAAGGCAGAGGCTTTAACCTACTGAGCCACGCAGGCACCCCTACATATAGCTTTTTGTATATAAATCATATTTCAATAAAGCTGTAAAAAAAAGTGGTTCGTTGTAGGAAAAAAAAGTTAACTGCTGTAACTATAAATCAACACTATACAAATAAGAGTATTCATGTATGTTAATAGAATGACAGATTTCTGTTTCCAGGAAATAATCATGTAGTATATTACAAAGTCTGTCCTCATATATTTCGTAAATTTTTGCAATATATGCAAAAAATACCCTTTGGGCTTTAATCTTTTATCAAAACAATCTTTACTAAAACAATTCTCTATAAAAATCTAGGACCACACATAAAACTAATAAATTGGTTGTGAACTGTAAAATTATATCCGTACAACCTATTTGTGTCAGTGGACACAAATTATCTGCCTAAAATTTTCCTGACACCAATTTTAATCCCCGGTCTTTGCTACTCTCTGCCTGCAGTTTTTTCAACAATTTAATCCTCCACTAACAAACACTATCAAAGTCAAAGGCCTGTTTCAAATCCTTCAAAAATGAAAAATTTTTTTCTACTGATAATATCACTACATTTCCGATTTCAGCTTGAAATACAACAGGGTTTCCTAAAGTGGGTTGTCAGTCAACAAGACTGCATTGGCCAGTGCCTTAATTAAAGCGGTGGAAATAACAGCACCATTTCTTCTCCAGGCAACAAATCTCTCTCTGAAGGTGTGATTACCTTCACACACTCAGGTCTTTTCCTAAATTAGCGCTGTGCCCTTTTCTGGGCTCAGTGATTCACAGCAGAAACTGAAACCCGAGACAAACAAATCTAAACACATGAAAGCAAACAAGTCGACAATTCTTTCTTAACCTTCAAGAAATAGAGAGATAGTCACCATTTCTCAAAGGCTTTGTTGACAACGAATCTGTTCTGCATCTTGGTATTTTTGTATCCTGGAATATGTTAGCCCCAATCTGTAGCTTCATTTTCAGAATCAGATCACTCATCATTGATAAAATTATAAAGTTCAAGGTTACAAAGTTTTAAGACTTGTAAGGAAGAGAACCCAAAATAGAAAACAGAGCACTACCCAAATAACTTACAGTTAATGTTCCAATTGCTTTACTCAATTATATAAGAAGTGACCCTATTACAGTATTAGCCACACCAGATTGCATGACCATGCTGAGAGACACAGGACCTATCTTTTCTCTATATCTGTCATCTTGCTCAGCAACTACATGTCCATGGAAAAGGAGAGGGCAGAAGCTGAAAACAAGGTAAGTAATCATCAGTCAACAGTAAGGTCAACTGTAAGAATTTTTCCAAATGTCAAAATAGATAGAATAGGCATGGTCAGAAGAATAAACACCTCCATTCCAAAAACCTGTCCTCAAAATTAACCCTCATGCCCTCCACCACACACACACAACTGATGTTTCAAAAAGAATAAAGATAGCAAGCAAATCTAGAATTCCCGGGATGCCTGGGTGGCTCAGTGGGTTAAAGCCTCTGCCTTCAGCTCAGGTCATGATCCCAGGGTCCTGGGATCGAGCCCCACATTGGGCTCTCTGCTGGGCAGGGAGCTTGCTTCCCCCCCACCTCTCTCTGCCTGCCTTTCTGCCTACTTGTGATTTCTGTCAAATAAACAAAATCTTTAAAAAAAAAAAAAATCTAGAGTTCCTATCACACTGACCCTTTCACATTTGTTTTCTACAATGAAGAAAATAAATTAGAGGGGAAGATGAATTGCCAGCAAGAGAGAAATACAAAGATAAACAATGCCTTTAAATGTAAAGGATTTTTATTTGATTTCATGTAATACATTTTAAAAGGTACCCAAGCTATATTTTTCACATTCCTGGCAATTCCAATTAAAAAAAGTTTTATAAGATTCAGAGATTAGGAAATTGGAAACATCCCATTTTGGGGAATTTGTCCTAAGGAAATATGTAAAGGTAAATATCCAGATATAGCAAAGATATAGCTACAGTAATGTTTATTACACACGTGTAATATCAAAAAGTAGAAAACATTCTAAATGACAGACAATGGGGAACTGCCACATTATATTTTGATGCACCCACACAGTAGCCTGTGGTGCATTTATTTTAAACTGTATACATCTACTCTGACATGGCAATATGTTCGTGATATGATTATAACATGACCATATTTTTATAAAATGCATGAATGACTATATAGATCATGAAAGGGATCTGAACGGATCTGTACAAAGGTATCAGCAGCTACCATCTTGGCATGTTTGGCTTGCTTCTATTCTCTGATCCCCTTCATAATAAACATGTTTCTTTTTGTCCAAACAGAAAAAGTCCAGATCATTTAGAAATAAAATCCAAAAACAAATGAAGACTAAATGACTTGTCATTAACATCCTCAGCCTAAAGTGAACAGATGTTGCTTTTTATACCACCAGAAAAGTCACTTCCAATTTTTAATCCAAGAAAAGATGTTAGCTTCTTTCCTAGGTTAGCATTGATTCGTATGGTTCCCTAACATGGAAAAAGGCAAATGAATTGGAATGCCTCATAATTGCGGTATTCCAGTTAAATTATTTTCAAAGGGGAAACACAATTTGCACCCAAAAAGAACCAATCCAATTTCCTGTACACGTAAATTGGGCATGATGAACAAGTTCAATCTGTTTGATGAATGAGGATCTCACTGCCTCAAGAGTCAATGCAAGTTATAAGACTCTGGACACAGAGAAAATATGGAGAGAAGATAAGGAGAATATGTTCCAACACAAGCCACGCCATGGAAACATGTTCCCTGAATGTATGCCCTTGTTTTCTATGATCTGTGTCTCTCTCTGAAGTTTAACGCAAAAGATCTTAGACTGATGGTTCAAGAAGTTCTTAGGGAACTGCAATTTTGTCTAGTCACTGGAGAAAATTCTTATTTGGCAAATAAATACTGAGAAGCATATGCGAACAATATGTAAGTTTTAAACCACATTCACACAGGACAATGTAAGATTTTTGCTCATCACCAAGCACAAATACCAATCACCTAAGGAAACCTGAGAAAAACATATGCACAAAGGCAGAAACCAAAAAAAGCAAAGAATGATAGATTTCACTACATAAAACTTTGAAGTCCTCTGTGACCAAATAACATAAAATGAGAACACAAATAACTAGGAAACATATTTGTAACAGATTGTCAAGATTTACAACTTCATTATGTATTTTTAAAATTCTAGTTATTAAGAAAAAGACAAAATTCACTAGTCATGAAGTAGGCTTTCACAAAAGGAAAACAACAAACATATGGTGAAACATTTTATATGAATAGAAATAAAAATATAATATAAACAGATATACTTTTTTGTTAAAATGACAATGACTGAATAAAAGAATATGAGCAAATAAAAGAGGAAGCAGATACTCAAATACTGCTGAGAGGAATGTAAATCAGCACAACAGTTCGGGAGAGAAATTTGGCCTTGTGTGTGTCAAAAGCCTTAAAAGCATATACTCTTGGGGGTGCGTGGGTGGCTCAGCAGATTGAGTGTCTGCCTTCAGCTCATGACCCCAGGGTTCTGGGATCAAGCCCTGCATCGGGCTCCCTGCTCAGCTGAGAGCCTGCTTCTCCCTCTCCCTGCCTTTCAGCCTACTTGTGCTCTCTATCTCTCTGTCAAGTAAATAAATATAATCTTAAAAAAAAAAAAAAGCACATACTCTTTGACAAAACACTTCTATTCCTAGGACTTTATCCTTAGACAATAATTAAGCAATATTTTATCTAAAAAGTTATTCATCGTAGCTTTAAATAGAAGCCAAAAGCTAAATTTTTCTCAAGAAACTGGTAAAAATAAATACTGTTTATTGAAAACCATGATCAGCCAGAACACTGATAGACATCAGAAAATATTAAAAAATGTTAGATGGTAAGTACTGACATGAAACAGAATCTAGCTTGTTCACAGCAGGTTTGCCACCCAAACACAAGTGTCATGAAAACCATCACTAAATTTAAGCCAAAATGAAAAGGAAAAGATTCATATTCATATTGTCCTCGGTGCACAGGCAGATTCAGGAAGTCTACCACTGCTGGCCGTCTGATACACAAATGCGGCGGGAAGAAGAGAACTATGGAAAAACTTGAGGAGGCAGCTGTTGAGGTGGGAAAGGGCTCCCTCAAGTATGCCTGGGTCTTGGATAAACTGAGAATTGAATGTGATCATGTTACCACCACTGATAGCGCCCTGCGGAAACTCAAGACCAGCAAGTATGAGGTGACCTCCACGGATACCAGAGGACACAGAGACTGTATCAAAAACATGATTACAGGCACAACTCGGGCAGACTCTGCTGTCCTGATTGTTGCTGCTGGTGTTAAGGAATTTGAAGCAGGTACCTCCAGGAATGGGCAGACCCATGATCATGCTCTTCTGATCTCACACGGGGTGTGAAAGAACTGTTGGTATTAAGAAAACGGATTCCATTGAGCCACCCTGGAGCCGGAAGAGACACACAAAAAAATCATTAAGCAAGTCTGCACCTACATAATAAAATTGGCCACAACCGCCACACAGTAGACTTGGTGCCAGTTTCTGGTTGGAATGGTGACAGCATGCTGGAGCCAACTGCTAACATGCCTTGGTTCAAGGGATGAAAATTCTCTGGTGAAGATGGCAATGTTAGTGCAACCATATCGCTGGAAGCTCTAGACTGCTCTTGCCACCAGCTCATCCAACTGACCAGCTCTTAGGTCTATCTCTCCAAGACATGTACAGAATGGATGGTATTGGCACCAGGGCCATGTGGAGAGTGGGGTTTTCAAACCCTGCAGGATGGCCACCTCTTCTCCAGTTGACATTGCAACTGATGTAAACTCTGATGAAATGCACCATGAAGCTTTGAGTGAAGCTCTTCCTGGGGACAAAGAGGGCTTCATTGTCAAGAATGTGTCTCTCAAATATGTTTGTTGTGGTATTGTGCCTGGTGATAGCAAAAGTGACTCAGCAATGGAAACAGGTGACTTCATGGCTCAGGTAATTCTCCTGAATAATCCAGGCCAAATCAATGCCAGATATGCACCTGTGCTGGATTATCGGCCAGCTCACACTGCTTGCAAATTTGCTGAAGTTCCACCATCATGCTGGGGGAAAGGCTGAAAGATGACCCAAATCCTTGAAATCTAATGAAGCTCCATTGTTGATATGGTTTCTGACAAGCTCCTGTGTGTTGAGAGCTTCCCTGACTATCCTCCTCTGGGCCATTTTGCTGTTTATGACATGTGACAGGGAGTTGCTGTGGGTGTCATTAAGACAGTGGACAACTGGGCAACTGGAGCTGGCAAAGTCATCAAGTCAGCCCAGAAGCTCGGAAAGCTAGATGAATATTACGCCTAATAGCTACCATGCCAGTCTTTTTTTTTTTTTTTTTTTTTAAGATTTTATTTAACAGAGAGAGAGAGATCATAAGTAGGCAGAGAGGCAGGCAGAGAGAGAGGGGGAAGCAGGCTCCCCGCTGAGCAGAGAGCCTGACACACGGCTCAATCCCAGGACACTGAGATCATGACCTGAGCCCAAGGCAGAGGCTTAACCCTCTGAGCCACCCAGGTGCCGCCACCACGCCAGTCTTAATCAGTGGTGGAAGAATGGTCTCAGAACTCCTTATCTCAACTAGTCATTGAAGTTTAACAGTAAAAGACTAGTTAATTTTACCAATGTGTCATAAAACCTTCAGCAGAAAAGGAGAGCGTTTTATGGACCATTTGTTTTATGCATGAGTGAGAGTTTGAAGCTACTAGTTTTTAAAAAGAGTACCTTCAAAAAAAAAAAAAGAGAGAGAGAGAGAGTACTTTCTCATGGAAACAAAAAATCTATCACAGAATTTAAGACCCATTATAACAAAGTTTAATGAGGAAAAAACCCAGGATGTATAATATGATCTTCAATTTTCTTTTTAAAAGGTTTATTTTTGTACACAGCTGTGATTTTTTGTTGTTTTGTTTTGTTGTTTTAAAGATTTTATTTGTTATTTGACACAGAGAGAGACAGTGAGAGCAGGAACACAAGCAGGGGGAGTGGAAGAGGGAAAGCAGGTTTCCCACCGAGCAGGGAGCCCAATGTGGGGCTCAATTCTAGGACCCTGGGATCACAACCTGAGTGGAAGGCAGATGCTTAACAACTGAGCAACCCAGGTGTCCCACACAGCTGTGTTTTTATACGTGTATAGATGCACAAAAATACTGAAAGGACCTATACTAAAATGTAAATTAGGATTATTTGCATTTTGTAGTTCTTAATTTTTTTATTTTTTTCATAATGTCAAGTGCACTCTTTAATCCCCATTTCTTTTTTTTTTTTTTTAAAGATTTTATCTATTTATTTGACAGAGAGCGATCACAAGTAGACAGAGAGGCAGGCAGAGAGAGAGAGAGAGGGAAGCAGGCTCCCCGCTGAGCAGAGAGCCCGACGTGGGACTCGATCCCAGGACCCCGAGATCATGACCCGAGCCGAAGGCAGCGGCTTAACCCACTGAGCCACCCAGGCGCCCCCTTAATCCCCATTTCTATTTCCCTCATTTCCCTCCACCCATTTTCCCTCTGGAAACCATCAATTTGTTCTCTATAGTTAAGAGTCCATTTCTTGGTTTGGCTCTTTTATTCTCCTTTGCTCATCTGCCTTGTTTCTTAAATTCCATGTATGAGTGAAATTATACGGCATTTTTCTTTCTATGACTGACTTATTTGCCTTAGCATTATGCTTTCTAGCTCTAGTCATGTTGTTGCAAATGGCAAGATTTCATTCTTGTTTGTGGTTCAGTAATATTCCCATATATACACACACACACACACACATTCCCATATATATACACACACACACTACATATATATATATATATATATATATATATATATATACACACATACACATACATACACACATACCACTTCTTCTTTATCCATTTATCTATCAATGGACATTTGGGCTGCTTCCATAGTTTGGCTATTGTAAATAATATTGCAATAAACATAGGGAAACATGTAACACTTTGACTTCATGTTTCATATATTTTAGGGGTAAATACCCAGTATTGGGATTCCTAGATTATAGGGTAGTTCTATTTTTAATTTTTTCTGCATTTTTTACAACAAATACACCACCAGTACCACCAAAAGAAACTATTATTTAATAAAAGTAAACATCTATTCATAGCAGAACTATTCACAAGAGCAAAAATGAAGAAATAACCCTAGTGTCCATCAGAGGATAAGCAAATCATAATACACACACACACACACACACACACACTCTTGAATATTAATCAGCCATAAAAAGAAATGAGCTACTGTTACATGTTATGTTGTGGACGCCCCCCTACAACATTATGCTGAGTCAAATAAGGCTGACATAAAAAATCACGTATTATATGATTCTATCTATATAAAATATCCACAATAAGTACATAGACAAAGAATGCAGACTGGTGGTTGCAAGGCAGAGGAGGGATTGGGAAATGGACATAAACTGCCTACTAGGCACAGGATTTTATTTTGAAATGCCGGAAAATGTTTTAGAACTAGACAAAGATGACGGTTGCACAATATTGTGAACAGGCTAATTGCCACTGAACTCTTCACTTTAAAAGGGTCAATTAAAAATAAAACAGTTAATTTTATGTTATGTGAATTACACTCTACTTTTAAAAGTTAAAAAATAAGGGGGAAAGGTGAACATCTAATCATCACATCCCTCTTTAAATTTACTAAATAGTTTCTATTTGATATGCTTGATACCATAAGAGATCATTACCTCTACCAGTGAGTTCTAGGTATGCTAGTGTGTCTGTCTGTCCATCTGTCTCTCATTCAATTGCTCACTATTCTTATTAACAAGCAATGATAAGCAACATTAATATGGTACTTAACTATAAATTGTTCCCAAAGTTCACATACATTAAGCATATTGAACCTAACAACGAATCTATGAGGTAGGTACTACTGTTACTTATGATCATCATCTCTGATTTACAGATGAGAAAGAGACACGAAGAGATAAAGTGACTTCCTCCAGACTATACAGGCAGGAAGTGACAGCACTGGGATTTAAACCCAGCCAGGCTGGCTTTGGAGTCCTATGCTCTCAAACGCTTCACTTGTTGTATTCTACTTCCTCTCAAAGAACGCATGTTCTTGGTAGAAAATTAAAAATAGAGATTAAGCATATGAAGTAAGAGGGAGAACATCCTGCCACCCAGGTATACCCACTGTTAATCTGTTTTCCATTTTTTCAAATAAATACACATATCTCTATACCTATATACCAAAGCTTTCATAACATACTGTATTATTTAACATATTATAAACCTATTCCATGTAAATAAATATGTCATGGTATTCCATTTAACACAGGAAACAATTTAACCAGTCACCTATTAAAATTTGAGGCTGTGGGGCACCTGGGTGGCTCAGTCAGTTGAGCGTCTGACTCTTGATTTCAGCTCGGGTCATAATCTCAGAGTCATGAGATCGAGCCCTGTGTTAGGCTCTGTGCTGGGTAGGGATCCTACTTAAGATTCTCTCTCTCCCTCTCTCCCCCTCCTTCTCTCTCTCTGATAAAAGAAATAAAAATAAAATTTGGTGTTGTTTATGAATAATACTGAGATGAATTACCTTATAAGTACATCAGTGTTAACCAATTTACTTAAGATATAAAATACTTGGTGAGAATATGTGTTTCAAAGCTCTTGACATATGTCACCCAACTATTCCTACAAAGTCTTTAATACTCGATACTCCCATTTATAGATTATAAGAACATCTCCTCTTACCACTTCTTTTTCAGAATTTTCCCAGCCTGTCTCAGAACACATTCTAATAAACCCAAGGATCATTTTATTTCCTACTCCACCCTCCAACAGATACATAGTCCCAAAGAAGAAAAATTATATATTTAGGAAGATGCTTTTAAACATACAGATTTGTGGAGATTTGTGGAACACAGATATCTTTATAATGTTGAGCCTGTCTAAGAATGGATCTCTGTTCAGAAGTAACTCTTCTTATAAACATCCCTGTGGGACATGATCAAATGAGAAAATAAAGGTTTCAGAAGTTAAAATAAGGCCATAGGCCAGTGGCTAAGGAGGATTCAAAAGAAAAGCAAATTTCACTCATGACTGCTTCATGTCAATAACCTGTGAATCTTTCCCTACAGGAAAAAATCCTAGGCTGTCACAGATAAAAGTTATTACTAAGATTGAGTCCTATCTATGCTAGATCGTCCCGTAACCCAAGGCAGAATTATAGAAGGCTAAGACTTTCTAACTCCCCAAAACCTTTTCTTGAGAAAAGTTAAGTATCTCAAGATAAATGTCTAAACTCAACTGACTTGGATGACTAGATGAAATTATACAGCCAATCATCAGCTGGAAAAAAATGCAAACATGCATCCATGTTGAACAGAAGTAGTAGGGCCACTGGGTGGCTCAGCCGGTTAAGCATCTGCCTTCGGCTCAGAACATGATTCCAGGGTCCTAGGATCAAGCCCCAAATCAGGCTCTCTGCTCAGTGGGGAGTCTGCTTCTCCCTCTCCCTCTGCCTGCCACTCTGCCTACCTGTGCTGTCAAATAAATAAAATCTTTTAAAATTAAAAAAAAAAAAAAACAGAAGTATCATGGGCCAGATTCACCAAACCTTCTTGCTGACCATTTATAGATAATGCTTAGTTTCTAAAAACTATCAAACTATATCACTCTGCCCAGTATGACCATCATGAACACAAAAAAATTCCACTTAGTCAAAAGCATCCAATAAGTGTCCAATAAGAAGCAAAGGCATAACCCTTCCTTCTCCGAAAATATAAAACTACAAGAAATAAAGGGGGGAAAAAAAAGAAAGCCTTATAGATTATCTAAACCAATCTTTTTCTCCTCCAAATGATAAGATCGAATCCAAGAGATATCAAGTTCCCCAAGGTCACAACAGTCAACTACCAGTGAGAAAAATGCCATACCTGGGTCCCTTGACTCCCTGGTCAATGCCCATGCCACCCCAGTCTGGCACATATACAACCAGGTGGACATTACCTCTGTAGAAATTCATTTGCCCCCCAAAAATGCAATAAAAATAAAACCTTTCTTTTGAATAATTAGACTATTTTTTTAAGCTGTTGTAAATTAAGGCAGATTCTGTAAACAGTATTTAAGAAGCATTGATCCTCTATCATTAAATAATTCTAATAAATTCAAAACA